AAGAGCATGATGTCTACGACCGCTTCCACACGAGTCATGCCTGATTCGAGACAAGTTCGGTTCCCGGGACATTGTGAGACGCTGCGAGCCTCCTCCGACGGCACAGGCAATAGAGTCGCAAACAAAGGCTCAGAGAAGCAAGAACTATAGAACCAACCAAACGGTCGGAGAACATGATGTCGCGGCTTCCCCCGCAGGTCGCAGCGTTCAGCGCCTCCTTGCTGCGATACAAGTCGTAGACAACCCCTGATGGTAAGTTGGCTTCCGTAAGGGTTCCCGCTGCGAAGTCGGGTTTGTAGGACTTGAAATCGCTGGGATCCGTCACGTCATACACGACGAACATGCTGGACATATCTTTCAAGAGGACCACCGTGCTCTTGTTGACAATGAAACCTGGTAGGCACTTGTCCGTGCGGGTCACGGTGCATACGCCCGATCCAAGCCAGAAGGCTCCGTAGTGCACACCGATGACGGTGACCTCATCTGCGGTGGCTGTCCTGTTTTTGCCATTGACGTCCGTAAAGTGGAGGCCATCCATGTCGATCAGACTCTGAGCTTGACTCAAAGAGATACCGGTACACTCGCTTGCCTCCAAGGGAATCATTATCTCATGGTCGCCGGAAACGTCCTTCTTGCACATGTGGTAGTAACAACCGTCGACCAGTACTCCATCCAGCGCCTTGGTTCCGCAGGTACCTTTGGTCGAGGACCACGATGCGAAGGACAAATCCTTACATTTCGTATCTGTCCATCCACCCGTAACCTGCAAGGGCATGGTAAGTGCCACAAGGAAATACAACATGATGCGAGCGAAATGCTGCGCTTTCTTGCTGGATGAAGGGCAGCCACGTGCCTGAACTGAAACGGCTTCCGGCAACAAAGAACTCGGGTTGCCGGCATCAGTCAACGCCTGATGTTTGGGGGAGGGGTTCTTGGAAGTAGGGGTCCCTGCATTTGGGGCTCCTGACAGTATGGATGCTTCTCTGGTGATCCTACTCATTTGGTACTTGAACCTGAAACTCTCACTTGGATCTTTCTAGTCTATTTGGGATCCGCTGCCCCTGTAAAACACCCGCTTTCGTGTGAGATGTCCAGAGAGAAGATCATGGAACTCTTTTGCACCGCCGCCAGGCTCGGGTCGAAGCCCACCTGTCGGGCAGTTTGGGCTCAGCAGGGACTCTCGGTTCGGTGAGAGTTCGGGGGCTTGACGGATGACCGTGTAAGCATTGGGGGCGAAGACGTGCCGGTTGCACAACATGTGCTATCTTGAACTCGTCGTTTGCACTACGCACCGGCATGAAGCTGACAAGAATATTAAACAAACGGCCTGACGCAAGCTAGACACTTACATGACTTCAACTCCAAGCAATGAACAAGCAGGACAAAGCAATCTTGAGAACGTCCAGGCTGTGGACTTTGAGCTCAGGGCACATGGGAAATAGCCAGCAAGGCGAAACATGTCCTGAATTCTGAACCCCTGAACGATTTCCACCCTAAGCCCTATACCTTGGCCGAACCCGGCATAAACCTTGCACCCCA